ACCGACCTCGCGGCCCCACGTCAAGGAGGGCCCTTCTCCAATTTCCAATGACAGAGCACGGCAGAAGCAGAACTCCTCCGGAGTTCCGAGGAATGATGTTTATGCAGTGTTCTGGTCACCCATCCTCGCGGGAGTGACATCCTCTCCTCGCGGGAGTGACATCCTCTCGCGGGAGCGTCGAGTCGGGCACGTCCCTCTACAGCCAGACATAGCCAGCAGATGCTCTGGAAACGATTGTTCGAAGATGCTCTCACCACTGCTGCATATCTGCTGGATCGGCTTAGTTTGCCCTCCAACATTTGCCCCCTTCACATTACAGTGCCGTTTTAATGCATGCTCCGCCTGCGGATCATGTATTCAAAATGCAGGGATTTAGTATTAAAAACAAAGGTGTGTTCATGCATACATGTACTCATAAGTTAATCATGTATTAAAATACCATATTTTGAAAATCCTATATATTAGAGACTGCCCTGTAGCGCCGTTTGTAGCACCACGCGTGCATGCCGCCGCCAGCCGGCGCTGAGAGCCCGCTGCCGTCCCAGTTTCACACCATGGCGCCGTGGCGCGCCCGCCTGCAGCACCCCCGCCAGCGGGCACCTTGCAGGTCCGAGTCCGAGTCCGAGCCCGAGCCCGACTCCTCCGCCTCCTCCTACCTCCTCCTCCTCCTCCTCCTCCCCTCTCCTCCTCCTCCTCCTCCTCCTCCGCCTCCTCCTCCTCCTCCTCCCTTTCCTCCTCCTCCCCCCTCCTCCTCCTCCTCCTCATCCACCTCCTTCCCTCCTCCTTCCTCCTCCTCCCCTACCTCCTCCCTCACCTCCTCCTACTCCTTCCTACTACCTCTCCCCCCTCCTCCCTCTTCCTCTCCTTCTCTCCTCCTCCTTCTCCCCTTCCTCCTCCACTCCTCCTCCCCTCCTCCTCTCCTCCTCTCTCCTCCTCCTCCTCCTCCCCCTCCTCCCCCTCCTCCTCCTCCACCTCCTCCCTCCCTCCCTCCCTCCCTCCCTCCCCTCCCTCCTCCTCCTCCTCCCTCCCTCCCTCCCTCCCTCCCACCCTCCCTCCCTCCCTCCTCCCTCCCTAATTCCTCCTCCCCTCCTCCTCCCTCCTCCTCCTCCTCCTCTCCTCCTCCTCCTCCTCCTCCTCCTCCTCCTCCTCCTCCTCCTCCTCCTCCTCCTCCTCCTCCTGTAGGGGGACGTGCCCGACCCGACGGGAGCGGCCTCTGGCGCGCGGTCCCCTCGCGGGGGCGGCCTCCGGCGCGGCGGCCTGGGCCAGGCCCGAGGTCGCGGGCCGCCCTCGCGCGCGGGCCGCCCTCGCGGGAAGGGGCGGTCGGCAGGCCGCGCCACCGGAGAGGCCAGCCTTGCCCAGGGATCGCAAGGCGGGCCTGTCCCTCCACAGGGGGAGTCTTCAAACATAGTCAAACAATAGTTGTTTTTTGATTATTTTTGTAGTCAAAATATAATCAAAAATCGCAAAAAAAAACAAAGTAGTCTAGGGACTATGTTTCTAGTATTGTTGGGCATCGTTTGAGCGTTTTTTTTTTGTTTTATAATTTTTCGTCCAAAATCCCCCTGTCGGGGGACAGGCCCGACCTAAATCAAGTCGGACCTGTCCCTCCACAGGGGGAATCTTCAAAAATAGTCAAAACATAGTCGGGGTACTATTTCAATTTTTTATGTTTCGTCCACAATCCCCCTGTCGGGGGACAGGCCCGACCTAAATCAAGTCGGGCCTGTCCCTCCACAGGGGGAATCTTCAAAAGCATTAAAACAACACTACTCGACGCGAAGATTCCCATGGGTGCATCTCACAGTGATGGCATGATGGCATGCTTCGGCAGAGGACATGGTCCTCTTTCCATATCCGGGTGTCGGCGAATCCATGTGGAAGACGAAGCCGAGAGAGACGCCGACGACTACGACAGTTTTAGCTAGGCGCTTCCTCCTTTTTGCCTCCTCCTCTCCTCCTCCCCTTTCTCCTCCTTTTCCTCTGAACACCTGCCAGGAGAATCCGTCCGTGAAGACGAGAATGCCGAGGAAATTCGGACAATGCATGCCAAGGAAGCTCGAATACTGTGAAACCACTGGGAAGCCTAGAGCAGCGAAGCTCGAGTCAGGAGCCTCGAACCTCGATCCTCTGGCCTCGGCCAACCGAGTTGCCCGTTCGGCGGCGAGAACCGTCTTACTCTTTCCACATCCGTCCTCCTCCTCCTCCTCCTCCTCCTCCTCGTATTCCTCCCTCTTCCTCCACCTTCTCCTCCTAGTCCTGGTTCTTTCTCGTCGCCATCCCTCCCAAGTTACGAGTTCTCCTTCACCACCTCCTACTCCAGCTCCACCTCCGCCACTGGGGCCTTCGGTGGAGCTCCCGATGGGGCCACGAAACGTTGTGCTGGGTGGGGGAGACGGGCACCCAAACAGGCAAACCGCCTGAGACTTCCCCACAATCTGGGCGCGAATCCTGGAGTGTCCTGACCCCTGCCGCCCCCCCCCTTGGGAGTGCTGAAACCAGCGCCTCGCCTGAGACATCCTCAGAAACGGCTCCGAAAGCAAGAGATGTTGGGCACAGAAACAGGCAAACCGCTTGAGACATACCCACAATCTGGGCGCGAATCCTGGAGTGTCTTGACCCCTGCCGCCCCCCCCCCCCCCTTGGGAATGCTGCAACCAGCGCCTCGCCCGAGGCATCCTCAGAAACGGCTCCGAAAGCAAGAGATGTTGGGCACCGAAACAGGCAAACCGCTTGAGACATACCCACAATCTGGGCGCGAATCCTGGAGTGTCCTGACCCCTGCCGCCCCCGCTTGGGAGTGTTGAGACCAACGCCTTTCTTGAGACATCCTCAAACACTGTTCCGAAAGCAAGGGATGTTGGGCACCGGAACAAGCAAATAGCTTGAGACATCCCCACAATTTGGACGCGAATCCTGGAGTGTCGCCCCCCCCCCTTGGGAGTGCTGAAACCAGCGCCTCGCCTGAGACATCCTCAGAAACGGCTCCGAAAGCAAGAGATGTTGGGCACAGAAACAGGCAAACCGCTTGAGACGTACCCACAATCTGGGCGCGAATCCTGGAGTGTCCTGACCCCTGCCGCCCCCCCTTGGGAGTGTTGAAACCTGCGCCTCGCCTGAGACATCCTCAACGGCTCCGAAAGCAAGAGATGTTGGGCACAGAAACAAGCAAACCGCTCGGAACATACCCACAATCTGGGCGCGAGTCCTGGAGTGTCTTGACCCCTGCCGCCCCCCTCTTGGGAGTGCTGAAACCAGCGCCTCGCCCGAGACATCCTCACAACGTGTGTGTGAGTGAGCGCGGAAGTGGTGTGACTGAACCTTTTAGTGGGGAAGAGCGAATCAGAGTACGGTTGAGTCTTAGTGTGGGAGAGCCTCAGTGTGAGTTGGCCTGGGCGGAAAAACATCTTCACAACGTGCGTTTGAGTCTGAGTGCGGAAGATGTGGCTGAGTCTGAGGGAGGAAGAGCGAGGCCGAGTATGAGTGAGTCTTAGTGTTAATGAGTCTGCATATGAGTGATCCCGAGCATGAGAGACCTGAGTGTCAGGAGTCTAAGAGCGAGTGCATCTGAGTATGAGTGAGTCTGAATGTGAGTGGATCTGCATGTGAGTGAGTCAGAGAATGATGACCTGAGGGTGGGAGGTATGTTCTCGTTCTCCGCGCGGTCAAAGTAATAACAAGAACCCCATCTTTAGGATATGGGGAAATAGTCCGGAGACGATTTGCTTATGTATCGTATTTGGGCTATGGTTGAATATTTATGTTTTTTTGTTAACAGAATTTCGTCCAACATCCGCTTGTAGGGGGACACGCCCGACCTCAGTGTATCGTCGGGCAGGGGCATAAGATCGAGGTCGCTTCGGGGAGGGCACCCTGGTGTTCTTCGTGTCTGCTGGATGTCTTTGTGCATCCCGGGGAGGGTCTCCTTGGCTGTCCTGAGCGTCTTGGCCGGCGGAGGGTCTCACGTTCTTGAGGGATGTTCTTCTGCCCTATAGGTCGAGGCGCGCTCCGCGCGCCAGGGAGGGGGGTCCAACGCAGATCCAAGAATCCGCGCGGAGCGCCAAAAGTTTATGTTTGGGGCTTTGTTGTTCTTCACCAAGTCAGACTGTCTCCAGACAGCCTGGGTCACCCCCAGGTGCTCGAAGAGGGGGTCGCGCCCCGCGCGTCGCGGTCTGGGCCAGAGAGCGGCTGCCCCTCTCTCCAAGGCAGCGCCGCGGGAGCGCGAAGACACCGTAATCGCGCGTCGCGCCTCGCGGGGCGTTCCGTGCGACGTCGGGTGACCCAGATCGTCGACCTGCTCCTGCTGGCCGCTGCCGAAAACGGGAGAAGCAAAGACTCCGACGGTACGACGCCACATGAGCCTCTCTTTGGCTTGTCCGAGAGTAATCCTCACCTCCTCTTCCTCCCATCCCTGGGATGGAACGCACACAGTCGGCCCGGATTAGTAGGTCGACCCTGCCAGCTCAAGGGCACCTTTGTGTCCTGTGCCTCGCGACACGTGCCTTCTCACACTCCTATGGCGATGTGGCCCTCGGAAGGGTCTTGGTGTCCTCTCGTGTGTCCTGTCCAATCAAGGCCGACCTGTAATCCTCGCCTCCTTTCCCTCCCATCCCAGGGATGGAGCGCATAAGACGCGGGCCCCGGACGGAGAGGGCTCCGGCTCGAGACGCCCTCGCAGGTCACTCGCAGGCGCGGCTCCAGGTCAAGGGGTCTTTCCTGCGCAATCCCCAGGAGCTCACGAGGGACGACGATTGCAGGATTCGAGTGACCGGCTGGGACTAATGACATGATCTGTGGGCCCCGTTGGGGCGGGGGCTCGCGCCCGAGAGGTTGTCCTCGCAACGCGCTCACAGACAGTGCCGCCGCCCGCGACTTCCTCAGGAATTCAAGCCCCAGCAGCTCAAACGTGACGAGAGCTACATGGTTGGAATGACCCGCTCGGATTAGTGACATGATCTGCGGGCCCCAATTTGGGGGGGCAGGGGCTCGGGGCTCCCGCCTGAGATCTCCTCGCGGTTCCCGCGCGGACGAGGCTCCGTTCGAGACCTTTGCAAGATTCAAGGCTCGTGGATCCGTAGCCATTTTGGTTCAAGGCGTTTGGGCCCTGGCCGTTTTCGCTGCGTGCATCCGAAAGCGTGTTAGCTGTCGAGCAGAAGATGGAGGTCGATGGCAGCTGCCAGCTTCAGGCGATAGTCGACGCGGTCTCCCAGCACGGCGAGCTCCGGAAGTTGGACCTCTCCGTCACCGTCGCAGACCCCTTCCAGGAAGATTGCCCGCTGATAGCGTGCAGCAATGGGTTCACCGAGCTTACGGGCTACACCGTCGCCGAGGTCATGGGCCGTAATTGCCGCTTCCTCCTCAGCGGTGTGCCAGATCAGCACATCGACGAGGACACTCGGCTCAGGTGCCGTTACTATGTCGCCGCCACGAGGGGCACTCCCGAAGACCCGGTCCCCGACGAGACGATGACGGAGTACCTGATGTCACAGCCTTGGATGTCCGCGCGCCCTGGCGAGATCATCTGTGTGCAGACCAACGCCATGAAGTCTGGCGAGTTGTTCAAGAACATGTTCTACATGAAGCAGGTCGAGCTCAACGAGCGGCCCTTCATCCTGGGCCTGCAGGCCCGCCTGCCCGAGGAGTGGCAGGACACCGTGTCCCAGGCGCAGCTGGCCTCCTTCTGCCACCGGGCCTTTGCACGCCTCAGCGAGAACATGAGCGCCGTCGAGGGCGTCCTCAGCCGCCACTTCTGGTACTCGGCCTCGGCCCGGCGGCAGACCGGCCCCAAGTCCGTGAGGCCCGCGTTCGCCCTGCAGGCAGGCGTCGGCCTGGCGGTGCTGCGCTCGGAGGCCCCGGCCGCCAGGGCGTGGCGCGCGGCCGCTGCGGGCGGCCCCCTCGCCGCCCGGGAGGGCAGCTTCGGCGACGCCGGCGCCGCGTGCGGCCGCTGCGTGTCGGAGACCTCCACGGCCGCGGCGTCCGGCCTCGACGACATCGACGTCGACTCGGGCTCCTGGGCGCGCCTCAGCACGCCGGGCAGCGCGGGCTCCGGGCCGCGGCCGCGGGCGGCGCCAGCGGAGCTCCACGAGGGCTTCGACGTGGCGGGCGTGCAGCCGTGGCCCGTCGGCCGCTTCGAGACGCTCGGGAAGATCGAGGATGCGCACCGCAATCAGGGCAGCGTGTGCCTCGTGAGGGCCGTCGACGAGGGGGTGCTGCTGGCCGTGAAGCGCATGCCCAACGCCTGGATCCAGGGCTCGCAGCAGGCGTTCGAGGAGGCGCACCCGGGCGAGACGGAGCAGCCGTGGGGTGACATCGGCTGCAACTGCTTCCTCAACAGCGTGGGCTACCCATATTGCATGCAGTTGGTTGGCGTATACCGTGATCAGGAGGCGACGAGCGTCATCACCGAGTTTGCCAACGGAGGCGACCTCTTCGACTGGGCCTCCGATCTGCACGAGCAGCCTGGCCTGGAGCGCGAGTCGCGCGTGAAGCCCCTGATCAGGCAGATCATGCACGGCGTTCAGTGCCTCCACAATCTGTCCATTGTCCATGGCGACCTGTCCATGGAGAACGTGCTGCTCAGCACGCGCGAGGGCGACGACGCCCCACGTGCCCGGCTCATTGACTTTGGGGCCGCGACCACCGATCGGTTCGCGGCGTGCCGCGCCACGGGCAAGCCGAGCTACCAGGCGCCCGAGATGTTCGACAGCGATAGCCCCAGGGACGGCTTCCTGTGCGACGCGTTCTCCGTTGGCGTGGTGCTGTACGCCATGTGCCTGATGGACTACCCTTGGGTCTCGACGTCCGGGGGCGACAAGTGCTTCGAGTACGTGAGGGCGAAGGGCCTCGCGGCATTCTTCAGGAAGCGGAAGCCCCCGGCCTGCAACAAGAAGGCGATCAGCGAGGTCGCCTCTCCCGAGCTCCGCGCGCTGCTCGCGGGCCTCCTGGAGCTCGATCCGTCCCGGCGCCTGACGCTGGGCGAGGACGCGTTCGGCGCCGGGCGCAGCTCCGTCTGGGACGAGCCCTGGATGCAGTGAGGAAGCTCCAGGGGGCGATAGGCTGGGTCATCCTCCTCCTCCTCCTCCTCCTCCTCCTCCTCCTCCTCATCATCAGCAGCAGCAGCAGCATCAGCAGCATCATCATCATCCTCAACGCGTACGTACTGCACAGGCTGTCCAGGCAGGCGATCACCACTCTCAGGATGCCGACTTTGATTGTGTCCGAGATCGTGCCTGTGGGTTTGCAGCAGCGGCCCACGGGCTCCCGCACGCCACGAGAGACGATTTTTAACGAGGGGAGGTCGGCCGCGCGCCGTGCGCCACGCGGCGCCGCCCGCGCCGTGCGCCGCGCCCGCTCTCAGCTGCTCCGAGACTGCGCACCGCCCCTCCTGAGGCTGCACGGCGAGCAGGCCATCTGTGGGTGACTCGGGTCGGGCGAAAGGAGGAGGAGGAGGGGGAGGAGGAGGAGGAGGAGGAGGAGGAGGAGGAGGGGAGGAGGAGGAGGGCGAAAGGAGGAGGAGGAGGAGGAGGAGGATGTGGAGGGGAGGAGGAGGAGGGGTCGAGAAGGAGGAAGGAGGAGGAGGAGATGAGGAAGGAGAGAAGGAGGAGAGAAAGAGAGGAAGGAAGAGGAGGAGGTAGGCGGGTATGGGGCGGGAGGAGTGGGGGGGGTGGGAAAGGGTGCGGGATCGAAATACTGCTGCATGCAGCTGGTAAGCGGGTGCCCCCCACCGAGGTTGCCCGTACCACGATAGATATCCGATCCTCCAAGGCCGTCCCCCGCCTAGCCGCCTACGCAATCCGGCGCCAGGAGGCGCCGGGAAAATCAGCTACGTGAGCTGATTCTCACCCCCCCCCTTTGCTATCCCCCCCTTCCGCCCGGCCCGTGGGTGCCTCCTCGGCGACGGCTGGGTACCGACAGCTGGGCGCCCTGCAGATGACGGCACGAGCCCCTCGCCCTGCTCCGGCTTCTCTTGTGGCCGTCGATCCGCCCACGCTACGGGGCGCGCGGTTGTGAAGTGGAGGCGTTTAGCCCCAGCCGCACGTCCGCAGCGCGAGCCTCTTGCCTGCTCGGGTTTTTTCGTGAGGTTCAATCCGTCCACGCGCGCGGCGCGCGGTGTTGAAGGCCCCAGCCGCACGTCCGTATCATGCGCGTTTGTCCTGGTCTCTCGCGTTCGCAGTGGGAGACTTGGCAGACCAGGGTTCGATCCAACCGCTGTTGAGAGCAACCTCGCGAGCAGGTTTCGTTTGCGATGCCGCGCATGCTTGTGTTATGGAAACGACGTCTCAACGAACACTCGAAATGTGGTCTGATCGATCCCTGTGTCAACTGAACATTTTTAAGTTTAAATCAAGGCGTCGGATGCCCTCACGGCAGATGTCCATCCATGCTGGCTTGTATTCAGGCCGACACAGGGAGCATCCTTGCATTTTCATCTCACGTTGTTTTAGCACTCTGAGGCTAAAACCGTCGTTGTTGTCCTCATCATTCGCCCGTCTGGCTGAAGTGAATAGCCAGGGTTTGCCAGCTGTTGCAGGCTACATCAAGTGTCTTTGTAGTTTGGTGTGGCTTGTCAGCCAAGCTGGTCCTGAAGTGAGCCATAATCAATCGCTTGTCTCACCTTCACAACTTCAGCGCTCTCGCTGCGTCGTGGAATTTAGTAAATTTGTCGGGCCGAGACGCGGTGGACGAGCAATTTGTTTGTCTGCGGGCGCGGTATCATTACTTACCGTCCAGTTGGTGGACACCAAACTTGTCAGCGTCAATTTATGAGCTGACCTTTTTGAGGTGTGTTGTGGGGACTTTGATGACCGACGAGCAAAAACCAAATATTCAAATGATTGCGAAGGCCTTACGGCCGGTGCCGCCGACCCTGAGGTTGGGGAGGAGGGCGCGGAGCATGGGGAGGAAGATGAAGAGGGGGACAGGAGGAAGAGGCGGATGAGGAGGAGCAGGAGCACAGGGGGGAGTGAATTGGAGGAGAGTGGGGCGAGCAGCAGGGCCGCGGGGGGGGGGGGGCACGAAGGAGGGGCAGGGGCGAGCAGAGCGTGGCGATCATGAGGAGGAGAAGCAGGGAGATCATGGCGACTCGGGGCCGGGGTCGGGGACTCGGGACCGGCCGAGGCCGCAGTCGAGGCCGGAAGCGGAGCCGGGGCTGGGGCTGGAAGCGGAGCCGGGGCCAGGGCCAGGGCGCGGCAGAAGGCCTCGCGGCTCTCACATGTGAGGCTCCTGTGCGGGCCCCGGGAGGCCCTGCAGGGAGGGGCAGATCCGACCCCAGACACGCGACGTCTCGATGTTTTCGAGACACGGGCCCCCGACCTCCCGATCACTTCCCCAGGGCCAGTTTTTCGCCCCGAGTCGTTTTTTGACGACCCCGAGGCCCGGCGAGGGCTCCGAGAGGCCGAAAGCTATGACAAACTCCCGTCTCGATTTTTCCGAGACGCCCGATGTCTGGGACGCGGGGCCCCCCCCGGGATCCGCCCCTGGAGCCCCCCAGGAGCCCCCCCCCCCCTGGCAGGGGAGGGATCCAAGGGAGGGGGCTCCCCTATTTCCGGGGCTGGACAGACCTCCTACCCTGACACGTCGATTACTGAAGTGGCCGTCTTCGGTTCGCGGGAGGGCGTCGCGGCCGTCATTTTTGCGGGTCCAGGTCCGCGGCCCCAGGCCGCTTTCACTAAGGGGAGGTCTGCTAATTAGGGAGGTTTGTCCAGCGCCGATATTTGCCGCCGGAGAAGCGGGGGGGGGAGGAGCGGCGAGGGGCCCCCGGGAGAGGGGGGAGGGGAGGAGGCGGCGGGCCCAGGGGAGGGGGGAGCGCAGGGGCAGGAGTCGACGGGGCCAGGGAAGGCGTGGGCGCAGCAAAACGACGCGAAGATCGGGACGAAATCGGATCGGGATAACTCGAAATCTCTGAGAATCGGCGGGTTTGGAGGATGTATTGGGCGCCGCGGCCGCTCCAGAGCGTTCCGGAACGCTCTGAGAGCGCTCCGGAACGCTCTGGAGCGA